TATCCAAAGAAAGTCTACCGCCACTCCACACCCTAACCCGAACAAAATGGGAAATGTATAGATATAATATGCTTTACCATTTTCACCCCCTCCATCCCTCCCGGAGAAAAATGTCTGAAAGAAACACTGATTAAGAACACACAGATTAATGTAATCTAAACAGGAAATGAAATACTTGCAATGCCTGTTATATATAATGGGGTTAAATCTATAGAGACAAAATAAAATGACGGTTTACTGAGTTAAGGCAAACCTCTGTTTTGCGCGTTGCTACGAGCAATAACTAAAACAAAAGACAACAGCGTTAGAACAAGGTAACCACCATAATAAGTATTCAACCCGAAAGGTCCCTAAATTCGAACCCCAGTACATATTACACCTGTTAGCTTCACATCAAAATGAGTAAACATTCTGCAGCTCTTGTAACATTGCTGACACCAAGTTGATCGAATGGATAAAGGTCACGCCTCTAACATATTGTCATCAGTACAATACGCCTCTTTTTAACACGCCCCCCTTTCAACTAAGACAACTGGTCAGGGATATAGACAGCGCAATCAGCCAATCATTTTCCGATACTACGGAGCCAATAAGGGTGGCGATATTCATTTGTTTCAATCTATTTACTGCTATAAAACAAAGCCAAACTCTGTACCGCCAGTATCAGCGTCCAAACGACTCGGTCTGCGGAACTACGAACTAAACAACAGTTCTTCTACTAATTAATCATTCAATTTTCAATTACTTAAACAAAGTAAGTTGTACATCAATTGTATTATGTTATAATAACAAATGGAAAATTAGTTGTAAATGTAAAGATTTCTAACATCCAATTTTTAAAGTTTGAAAGAAACACTGTTGAATATGTTGTGTCCTGAAATTTTCTAGCAAATAGCTCTATTACTTTTTATTTTATAGCTGTTTGTTTATGGGTTTAACCTGAACTTAATACAAATGGAATTTTAAAAAAAACTGCTGCAATTAAAGACATCAAATATGAAACAAAAATTATGGTTATTAAGTTAATTAAAATCAGTTTTACGACTAAATAGATTTTAAATATTTTTACTAAAAATTTTTTTTTTTGCGAAACGACACGAGTTAGTAACTCATTTTTTGTTAACTAAACCACACGAACTATACGTGTTATGTTAGTTCGACTGTACTAATCGTGTGTGTGTGTGTGTGTGTGTGTGTGTGTGTGTGTGTGTGTGTGGAGGGGGAAGGGGTGTAGTGGAAGTCCACGTGACAATCTAAACCAACCAAACATTAACAAATTTCACAAACAAAATAAATTCACGAAATTTCTTGTATTTAAACCATACCATCTTTGTCACAAGTTTGAATCAAATATTCGATATTTGACGTCATCACTTTCTGTGAACAATGAATGCTGGAGTTATGGAATACGCCCGACTCGTGTTGATACTGGTCTCCATAGAAACACATATGGCCCTACTCGCCCCTAAACCCTGGGAGTACCAATCTATCGGGGAGTTCAGCATGTCAGATGAACAGGAGCTCGAGAAAACTGACTACAGATACATCGGTTATAAGAGTAAGTACATCTTGAAGCTTTGTTTACACGATATCTGTGACGGGTTGTCGTGTAGTTTTAATTTGTTTTGTTTGTTGGGTTTTATTAGAGGTCACTGGGCACTTTTAACTGAGGTCTACAATATTACGGACTGTATTTTCATATTTCTGCTACAATCAATTCTATGGTCACCACATACTCATACTTTACACCTGAACCTATTCAAACTTCAGACGACAGATTGACTTGGGCACTTTTAAAAATGCCGACAGTAAATTATTTCATGAACTTTAAGATAAGATTAAATTATTTTTTTAAAGGTTAATTAATTATAAATAAGTTTTTCACCGACACATACACAAAGTCTTGAATACAAAGTTAGTACCACATGACAGTTGAAAAAATAATACTCTCAAAGTACACAAGTTGATCGTTACCGTAAGGTTATATTTATCCAAAACATATTGGATACATATTTAGTCACCACGGCAGCTGAAGTGACTGAAATAATAACATGTTTTAGCTGAAATAATAACATGTTTTAGCTGAAATAATAACATGTTTTAGCTGAAATAATAACGTGTTTTAGCTGAAATAATAACATGTTTTAGCTGAAATAATAACATGTTTTAGCTGAAATAATAACATGTTTTAGCTGAAATAATAACGTGTTTTAGCTGAAATAATAACATGTTTTAGCTGAAATAATAACATGTTTTAGCTGAAATAATAACGTGTTTTAGCTGAAATAATAACATGTTTTAGCTGAAATAATAACGTGTTTTAGCTGAAATAATAACATGTTTTAGCTGAAATAATAACATGTTTTAGCTGAAATAATAACGTGTTTTAGCTGAAATAATAACATGTTTTAGCTGAAATAATAACGTGTTTTAGCTGAAATAATAACATGTTTTAGCTGAAATAATAACATGTTTAGCTGAAATAATAACTTGTTTTAGCTGAAATAATAACATGTTTTAGCTGAAATAATAACATGTTTTAGCTGAAATAATAACATGTTTTAGCTGAAATAATAACATGTTTTAGCTGAAATAATAACGTGTTTTAGCTGAAATAATAACATGTTTTAGCTGAAATAATAACGTGTTTTAGCTGAAATAATAACATGTTTTAGCTGAAATAATAACGTGTTTTAGCTGAAATAATAACATGTTTTAGCTGAAATAATAACATGTTTTAGCTGAAATAATAACATAGATATTCTATGAGCCGCTAAAATAAAGATAAAGTACTCTTACAATTTAATCGCTGTCATCTGGTGCTAGGGCCTTGTCGTGGCTTGGCAGCTTGCGTACCCTGACGACCCCCAGAGCTATACCAGCGGGAGTGTTAACTCCTGGCAGGTTCAACCAAGCTGGGAAGGTCTGCGCGGGTAGGGGTCAGACGAAAGCTAGCACCCTGGTCCTCCAGGTTGGGGGTTGAGCATAAGGTCAGCAACCTTATCTCGTAAAACAAATTACCCGCTACAGAAACGCAGACAGAGAGAAACAAAGACAGCTCGGACCAGGGGAAAAATGGATCTCCCGATGGAGAATTGATGAAACCGAATGGTGAAAGCCAATACGTATTGGAAACAACCAGATTATCTCCACCAGGTCCACCGTCAATGTAGGAGCTTGGAATATCCGCACGATGTACGAAGCCGGAAAAGCAACCCAAGTAGCAGCAGAAATGAGACGCTATAAAATAGCTATCCTGGGTATCAGCAGTCAAGGTGGACTGGCTCAGGACACAAAAAGTTGATAACAGGAAAGTTACTGCTGTACTCAGGCCATGAGGATGAAAATGTACCACATACTCAAGGAGTTGCACTCATGCTATCAAACCAAGCACAAAGGGCTCTAATTGGATGTGAGACACACTGCCCGCGGATCATAACAGCTACCTTTAAAACTAAAATAAGACGAATAAACATGGACATAATACAGGCCTATGCCCCAACAAATGACAGCAAAGAGGAGGACAAAGACGAATTCTACAACAGGCTAATGACCATTATCCCGAACCGCCCAAGAAGAAACATCCTTATACTCATGGGCGACTTTAATGCTAAGATTGGAAGCGACAACAGAGGATATGAAGAATGTAATGGACAGCAGGTTTAGGTGAGATGAACGAAAACGGAGAAAGATTTGCTGACTTGTGTGCCACAAATAATTTAGTCATTGGAGGTAGTCTCTTTCATCACAAAAGGATACATAAAGCTACTTGGGTATCACCCGGCCTATCTACAGAAAACCAAATAGACCATATATGTATCATAAAAAAGTTCAGGAGATCACTTCAAGATGTACACGTCAAGAGAGGAGCTGATGTTGCTTCAGACCATCACCTACTGGTAGCTAAAGTAAAACTCAAACTGAAGAAAAACATGTTGGAAAACAAAAGAAAATACAGATACAACACTGGCCTGCTAAAGGACCCCTCTAAACTCAATGAATTTAAACTTCATATGTCCAATAGGTTTCAGGTACTACAAGAACTAATAGAAGAAGAGACGATAGAAGAAACATGGAAAAAAAAATAGCATATTAACATCAACATGCGAAGAAGTGCTAGGCCCTATCAAAAGACAAGCAAAGGAATGGATATCAGCAGATACTATGAAAATTATTGAAGAGAGAAAAAGAAAGAAGGCAACATTAAACAACAGCCGCACACGGGCTGCTAAATTAAAAGCACTGGAAAAATACACCGAAACGAACAAAAATGTCAAGAAACACATAAGGAAAGACAAAGGGAGTTATTTGGAACTGCTGGCAAGAGAAGCGGAAGAAGCACTGTACCATGGTAATATTAGGGACGTGTACAATACAATTAAGAAGATATCTGGTAAGTACAGTAAGCCAGTGAGGCCAGTGAAGACCAAAGATGGAAAGACAATACCTGATGCGGAAGGACAAATGAAGAGATGGGCAGAACATTTTGAAGAAATACTGAATAGACCAACACCAGAGTGCACGCAAGACATACCACCAGCTGAAAGTGACCTCCCTATAGACTGCAACCCACCTTCAAAAGAAGAGATACATAAAGCTATAAAGCAGCTGGAAAATTGGAAGACTCCAGGAATAGATGGTATACCGACATAAGCACTGACAGCAGATATAGAAACTAGCACCACACTACTATACACACTCTTCAAGAAAATCTGGGAAGATGAACAAATACCAGGGGAGTGGAAGGAGGGAATACTCATAAAGCTTCCAAAGAAAGGCGATCTTAGTGCATGCTCTAACTATAGAGGGATAACACTTTTGTGCATCCCAGGCAAAGTCTTCAAAAGAATATTATTAAACAGAATGAAGGAAGCGATAGATCCCCAGCTTCGAGATCAACAGGCGGGCTTTAGGAAGGAGAGGTCATGCATAGACCAAATTGCTACCCTGCGCATCATCATTGAACAGACCCAAGAGTGAAACTCATCTCTCTATATTAATTTCATAGATTATGAGAAGGCCTTTAATAGCCTGGATAGACAGTCAATAGGGTGCCACAGAAAATAGTCAACATTATTATGTCTTCATATGAAGGTCTCAAACCTTCCCAGTACGGATTTAACATCCACAGAGGGAAAAGTACAGTTCTCAAAGTCAATGCATCAAACAGCAACCCTATAACATTGACAGAAGAAGCCCTAGAAGAAGTGGATAGATTCACCTACCTTGGAAGTATTGTTGATAAGCAGGGTGGGATAGAAGCAGACATAAAAATAAGGACGGATAAGGCAAGAGCAGTCTTCAACCAACCAAAAAATGTTTGGGGTTCTGGAGATTTAACCCTTGAAATAAAAATCCGGATCTTCAACACACTAGTAAAACCTATTTTACTCTATGGAGCCAAGACATGGAGAATAACTGCTATAAATTAAGAAGAACATACAATCATTTATAAACGCATGCCTCAGAAAGATCCTGCTAATTCGCTGGCCTAAAACCATCAGAAATGATTTTCTATGGCAACGGACAAATCAACTGCCAGTTGAAGTAGAGATCCTGCAGAAAAAATGGAAATGGATTGGCCACACACTCAGGAAGCCTGTATCCAACATAACAAGACAGGCCCTCACCTGGAATCCACAAGGCTGGAGGAGGAGAGGCAGACCAAGAAAGACCTGGAGACGCGACCTGGAGACGCGACCTGGAAGAATACACCAAGAAGATTGGATACACCTGGGGACAGTTGGAGAGACTAGCCCTGGACAGAGACGTCTGGAAAGCTCTTGTCAGCGGCCTATGTCCCAGTAGGGACGACAGGCAAACGTAACGTAACGTAACGTAACTGTTTAATCATTGTTACCTTATGAGGTTGAGTGGTCAATTGGTAGAACACTCAACAAGGTGTCGTTTAGTCTACTCAGCTCTGATGACTACTCGAGTAGAGGACAGATTTAGTTGAAACTGCATGTGCCCAACTGTTCTTCTGGTCTAAAAGGAAATTAAAGATTTTGTTTCATCTTTAGTTTACAATCACATAATTTGTTTTTCTATAAATGCTAATTTTCCACATCACAAAAGCCATCAATTTCCATTTATCTTTGTTTTGGATGAGATGTTAATTTGAATATGATTAGGAACACTTTCATTATCAAAAGTATTCAAGCGGACTTAGGTTATAACTAGTTTTAGCAAAGCGTAAAATGTTGTTCTGTTTGTTAAATATTCTTGCAGCATTATTCCACATATGTCTATCATGTGAAAAATACTCCACTTTCACTCAACGTGTCAAAAAACTCCACCTATATCAAACATATCACCAATACTCCACAAAAATATCACAAATACTACACCTACATCGATCATATCACCAATACTCCACCAACATCCAACATATCATCAATACTCCACCTACATCCAACATATCACTAATACTCCACCTACCACCTACATATCACCAATACCCCACCTACATATCCCCAATACTCCATCTACATCCATCGCGTCTCACCAACATATCATCTACTTTCAGAAGCTGAATCCAACAACATATTTCATAACGACAGCCTCATCAGTCGGATCCAGTTGTTGATGGATGAAGCGACGGACCGTCTTATTGTAGGGGGAACGTGAGTACTATTTTCTTTATCGTGAAATACACACTCTTTCATTCCACTAGTGAGTTTTCTAAAACATAAATCTTGCTGACCATCAACTTACTACAATCGGTCACGGTTATTAAGGCTATATTTCACAATTGTGGTGATGAAAATATCTGCACCTTCGTTGCTTAGATAAAATAGGAAAATAAATACGTTTTTAAGAAATGAATTGTATAATTTTATTTAAAAAAAACATTCATACAATGACATGTAGATGTGAAATATGTTTTTCTAGTCTGTTTTTTTGTTGTCAAGATGCAGTGTTTTATTTCATTAAACTAGATGATTAAACGAATTGTGACCAGAAATAAAATGTATAATATTTTAGTGAGCATAGTTTATGTAAACATTTTGCGAGCAAAAAGTGACAACAGCTTATGAAGGGCCGGGCGTTTTGAATATTTTTCAAGGGGCACAACTCATTTGTGTGACCTTTGTTTTGTAAATAAAATGGCCTGTTATTTTTATACAATTTAAAGACGGTTAGGAATTTTCCCATTGATTGCTTATAAATATGATTGCCTGAATGCTTGCGATTGATAACTAATTCACAGTGTAAAACCAATACAGTATTATTTTATATAGTTTCGTTAACATTGCGTGACGCAATCTGACGAAATAACTTTAAACTGCTGGCTATTTTTAACAGATGTGTCAACCATTTATCACAATTCGGCTGATTTTTTGTGTTTTCTAACGAAAATAACCACCAATGTTATTGCCATAAGGGCTGACTGGACCGGACTATGTTATTTTTAGGGTGGGTCATCCTTATATAAACAATATTTGTGTAGGAGGCGACGACAGGCGGTAATTATACTTAAGTGTGTGCTTGTGTTAGATAGTTTGAAAAAAAAATGTAAGCTTGTAATTCAAACATTAAAAGTTTAGCTTTTATATTTAAAACTAACAATTAAGCGTTAAATTCTGGGGCCCCTAAAATCGAGGGCCCCTGACTGCAGCTCTTTTAGCCCCCCTCTCAATACTGCCACAACCGACTCATTTATGGAAGTCATAACTAGATTGCCCTTCAATTAAAAACATACTGTTTCTTAAACTAGATAAAACAATACAAAACTTAGACCTGTCGAACAAGAGATGCATATATTGTAGGCCCTATTTCTTTATTAAGAGTGTTGGCTAAGCTAACTCTAAAGAGTACAGGCAGGTGTCCAATGAGGTCGTTTCGCCAGGAGACTTAGTCTCTACGGAAACCATATTGACAGGGGCCCTTTTGTCGGAAGCTTAAATGACAGGAGCCTAATTTTTCTGGAGTCTTAGTGACAAGAGCAATTTTGTTGGGAGTCGTAATGACGGGGGCTGCTTTGAGCCGAATCGACTGGAGCCAATATATCGGGAGCCTATGTGACGGGATACTATATGACAAGAGTCTATTTGTCGGGAGCATATATGACGGGGTTCATTTGTCACTGGCCCTTTGACGGAGTCAATTTGACGGGGCTCGTATGTCGGGGCCGTTTTCTCGTTGACCGTTTTGTCGTCGCTCTAGAAAAAATGCGTAGTATCGTTTTTAATTTTACGTCTACGAAGTATTGAACACGTTTATTAATCGAGCAAACAAATCGAAATCGAGATGTTAACATTTCACACCTCCCTGAGATGGAAATACTTAGCCATCTTATCGTGTTCACAGGCAGACACATAGGCAGACACACAGGCAGACATACATACACATTTGAGTACCGTTTCAAATATGTGGATACAATTTTGTGCACACATATATTAAATGTTTAGTTTTGTAAAAACGTTTTAACGATTTCCAGTAAACAGAAGTGGTACTTCCTCAACTTCCGGTTCTGAATTTTTTTTTCCACCAGACCGATCGATGTCTTTGGAACTTTTCACGTAGGTCAAGACACGATGACAATGCAATGTGCCATACAATTTTGGTAGAATTCAAATTTATTAATAAACTCCTTTTCTGCTCTATTAATACCATATTGTTCACGTTCAGTATGTGCAAAATAGGCTTGAAAAGTCTATGTAGTCATACTAAATTTTTTAAAAAGATCTTTTAAAAAATATGGTAAGTTATAAAATTTTAGTTACATTAAAAAAAATAATTAAAAACTGACTGGTAACCATCGATTACACTCACTTTCATAATTTTGAATTGAATATAAGCAGTTGAAAAGCCGTTTAGAATTGGTTATCAATTGAAATATATATAAAACAAAACTCCCTCAACCTCTGTTTGAAGTCAATCAGAGTCGCCAGGGAATGTAAAACAATGAAATCGTGCGGCGTCAAAACGGCGTCAAAACGGCCAATGACAAAACGGCCCCGTCAAAACGACCGAGACCAATCGACCCCGTCATAAGAGCCCCGTCAAGTCGACACCGTCAAAAGGGCCAGCGACATACGGACAAAAAGGCTCGCGTCATATAGGCTCACGACATATAGGCAGTCAATAGGTCAGATGCGTAGGCCCCCCCCTATATATATATATATATATATATATATATATATATATATATATATATATATATATATATATATATATATATATATATATATATATATATATATGTATATATATATATATATATATATATATATGTATATATATATGTATATATATATATATATATATATATATATATATATATATATATATATATATATATATATATATATATATATATATATATATATATATATATATATACGTCTAGATTTATATAGGTCTATATATAGGTCTGTATATATATATATATACGTTATCGTCACCTTAGGGTCGGCACCTCCCCCCCTCCCAGCTACTGCTCGGCAATGGGGTATATTTAATAGTTTATTTATATTAAATAGGATAAAATCATATTTCAGTAGAACATATTGACTACATTTATTAACAGTGTTAGCTAAAAATTACTATTGTATTACTGGTAATTATATGTTATATTTCTTGCCTTAATAAAACCGGAAATAATTTTGTAATTATTTACAAAATGTATCAAATATTAAACTGTTTGAAACATATGCTTTCTGGCAACAACCATTTGGCACCATTTTGGAACTAACTCTTATAGCCCATTTCTTTTTATACGCAGTTCTGTTCTCATTTAAAAAAAAATTGTAATATACGTGGAAATTTAGGGGAAATCACACCCGCTTTTTAAATTTAATTTGTATTTACAAAACAAAATGTAAAACGAATATATGTAGGCCTTCAGAAAAATTAAATTTCGTTCTGTATACATTTCTTAACTCACCACAGAGATATGTTGTTTGATTTGGATATGAAAACAATGAAGACTACCCAGACAGTGGAATGGAAATTTAGAGATGAAGTCTTATGTGAGACCCGGAATTTACCTAAGGTATGTCTGTGTTATACTAGAGGTATGTCTGTGTTATACTAGAGGTATGTCTGTGTTAGACTAGAGCCATGTCTGTGTTATACTAGAGCCATGTCTGTGTTAGACTAGAGCCATGTCTGTGTTATACTAGAGCCATGTCTGTGTTATACTAGAGGTATGTCTGTGTTATACTAGAGGTATGTCTGTGTTATACTAGAGCCATGTCTGTGTTATACTAGAGGTATGTCTGTGTTAGACTAGAGGTATGTTTGTGTTATACTAGAGGTATGTCTGTGTTATACTAGAGCCATGTCTGTGTTATACTAGAGCCATGTCTGTGTTATACTAGAGGTATGTCTGTGTTAGACTAGAGGTATGTTTGTGTTATACTAGAGGTATGTCTGTGTTATACTAGAGCCATGTCTGTGTTATGCTAGGGCGATGTCTGTGTTATACTAGAGCCATGTCTGTGTTATACTAGAGCCATGTCTGTGTTATACTAGAGCCATGTCTGTGTTATACTAGAGGTATGTCTGTGTTATACTAGAGGTATGTCTGTGTTATACTAGAGGTATGTCTGTGTTATACTAGAGGTATGTCTGTGTTAGACTAGAGGTATGTTTGTGTTATACTAGAGGTATGTCTGTGTTATACTAGAGCCATGTCTGTGTTATACTAGAGCCATGTCTGTGTTATACTAGAGGTATGTCTGTGTTAGACTAGAGGTATGTTTGTGTTATACTAGAGGTATGTCTGTGTTATACTTGAGCCATGTCTGTGTTATGCTAGGGCGATGTCTGTGTTATACTTGCGCCATGTCTGTGTTATACTAGAGCCATGTCTGTGTTATACTAGAGCCATGTCTGTGTTATACTAGAGGTATGTCTGTGTTAGACTAGAGCCATGTCTGTGTTATACTAGAGCCATGTCTGTGTTATACTAGAGCCATGTCTGTGTTATACTAGAGCCATGTCTGTGTTATACTAGAGGTATGTCTGTGTTATACTAGAGGTATGTCTGTGTTAGACTAGAGCCATGTCTGTGTTATACTAGAGCCATGTCTGTGTTATACTAGAGCCATGTCTGTGTTATACTAGAGCCATGTCTGTGTTATACTAGAGCCATGTCTGTGTTATACTAGAGGTATGTCTGTGTTATACTAGAGCCATGTCTGTGTTATACTAGAGCCATGTCTGTGTTATACTAGAGGTATGTCTGTGTTATACTAGAGGTATGTCTGTGTTATACTAGAGGTATGTCTGTGTTAGACTAGAGCCATGTCTGTGTTATACTAGAGGTATGTCTGTGTTATACTAGAGGTATGTCTGTGTTAGACTAGAGGTATGTCTGTGTTAGACTAGAGGTATGTCTGTGTTATACTAGTGCCATGTCTGTGTTATACTATGGGTATGTCTGTGTTATACTAGAGGTATGTCTGTGTTATACTAGAGGTATGTCTGTGTTAGACTAGAGCCATGTCTGTGTTTTACTAGAGGTATGTCTGTGTTATACTAGAGCCATATCTGTGTTATACTAGAGGTATGTCTGTGTTATACTAGAGGTATGTCTGTGTTATACTAGAGGTATGTCTGTGTTAGACTAGAGCCATGTCTGTGTTATACTAGAGGTATGTCTGTGTTATACTAGAGCCATGTCTGTGTTATACTAGAGGTATGTCTGTGTTAGACTAGAGGTATGTCTGTGTTATACTAGAGGTATGTCTGTGTTAGACTAGAGCCATGTCTGTGTTATACTAGAGGTATGTCTGTGTTATACTAGAGCCATGTCTGTGTTATACTAGAGGTATGTCTGTGTTAGACTAGAGGTATGTCTGTGTCATACTAGAGCCATGTCTGTGTTATACTAGAGCCATGTCTGTGTTATACTAGAGGTATGTCTGTGTTATACTAGAGGTATGTCTGTGTTATACTAGAGGTATGTCTGTGTTATACTACAGGTATGTCTGTGTTATACTAGAGGTATGTCTGTGTTATACTAGAGCCATGTCTGTGTTATACTAGAGCCATGTCTGTGTTATACTAGAGCCATGTCTGTGTTATACTAGAGCCATGTCTGTGTTATACTAGAGGTATGTCTGTGTTATACTAGAGGTATGTCTGTGTTAGACTAGAGCCATGTCTGTGTTATACTAGAGCCATGTCTGTGTTATACTAGAGCCATGTCTGTGTTATACTAGAGCCATGTCTGTGTTATACTAGAGCCATGTCTGTGTTATACTAGAGGTATGTCTGTGTTATACTAGAGCCATGTCTGTGTTATACTAGAGCCATGTCTGTGTTATACTAGAGGTATGTCTGTGTTATACTAGAGCCATGTCTGTGTTATACTAGAGCCATGTCTGTGTTATACTAGAGCCATGTCTGTGTTATACTAGAGGTATGTCTGTGTTATACTAGAGGTATGTCTGTGTTAGACTAGAGCCATGTCTGTGTTATACTAGAGGTATGTCTGTGTTATACTAGAGGTATGTCTGTGTTATACTAGAGGTATGTCTGTGTTAGACTAGAGCCATGTCTGTGTTATACTAGAGGTATGTCTGTGTTATACTAGAGGTATGTCTGTGTTAGACTAGAGCCATTTCTGTGTTATACTAGAGGTATGTCTGTGTTATACTAGAGGTATGTCTGTGTTATACTAGAGGTATGTCTGTGTTAGACTAGAGGTATGTCTGTGTTATACTAGTGCCATGTCTGTGTTATACTAGAGGTATGTCTGTGTTATACTAGAGGTATGTCTGTGTTATACTAGAGGTATGTCTGTGTTAGACTAGAGCCATGTCTGTGTTATACTAGAGGTATGTCTGTGTTATACTAGAGCCATATCTGTGTTATACTAGAGGTATGTCTGTGTTATACTAGAGGTATGTCTGTGTTATACTAGAGGTATGTCTGTGTTAGACTAGAGCCATGTCTGTGTTATACTAGAGGTATGTCTGTGTTATACTAGAGCCATGTCTGTGTTATACTAGAGGTATGTCTGTGTTAGACTAGAGGTATGTCTGTGTTATACTAGAGGTATGTCTGTGTTAGACTAGAGCCATGTCTGTGTTATACTAGAGGTATGTCTGTGTTATACTAGAGGTATGTCTGTGTTATACTAGAGCTATGTCTGTGTTATACTAGAGGTATGTCTGTGTTAGACTAGAGGTATGTCTGTGTCATACTAGAGCCATGTCTGTGTTATACTAGAGCCATGTCTGTGTTATACTAGAGGTATGTCTGTGTTATACTAGAGGTATGTCTGTGTTATACTAGAGGTATGTCTGTGTTATACTAGAGGTATGTCTGTGTTATACTAGAGGTATGTCTGTGTTATACTAGAGCCATGTCTGTGTTATACTAGAGGTATGTCTGTGTTATACTAGAGCCATGTCTGTGTTAGACTAGAGGCATGTATTAGTTATACTAGAGCCATGTCTGTGTTATACTAGAGCCATGTCTGTGTTATACTAGAGGTATGTCTGTGTTATACTAGAGCCATGTCTGTGTTAGACTAGAGGCATGTATTAGTTATACTAGAGCCATGTCTGTGTTATACTAGAGCCGTGTCTGTGTTATACTAGAGGTATGTCTGTGTTATACTAGAGCCATGTCTGTGTTATACTAGAGGTATGTCTGTGTTATACTAGAGGCATGTCTGTGTTATACTAGAGCCATGTCTGTGTTAGACAAGAGGTATGTCTGTGTTATACTAGAGCCATGTCTGTGTTATACTAGAGGTATGTCTGTGTTATACTAGAGGTATGTCTGTGTTATACTAGAGCCATGTATGTGTTATACTAGAGCCATGTCTGTGTTATACTAGAGATATGTCTGAGTTATACTAGAGGTATGTCTGTGTTATACTAGAGGTATGTCTGTGTTATACTAGAGGTATGTCTGTGTTATACTAGAGGTATGTCTGTGTTATACTAGAGGTATGTCTGTGTTAGACTAGAGCCATGTCTGTGTTATACTAGAGGTATGTCTGTGTTATACTAGAGGTATGTCTGTGTTATACTAGAGGTATGTCTGTGTTAGACTAGAGCCATGTCTGTGTTATACTAAAGGTATGTCTGTGTTACACTAGAGCCATGTCTGTGTTATACTAGAGGTATGTCTGTGTTATACTAGAGGTATGTCTGTGTTATACTAGAGCCATGTCTGTGTTATACTAGAGGTATGTCTGTGTTAGACTAGAGGTATGTCTGTGTTATACTAGAGACATGTCTGTGTTATACTAGAGGTATGTCTGTGTTAGACTAGAGCCATGTCTGTGTTATACTAGAGCCATTTCTGTGTTATACTAGAGCCATGTCTGTGTTATACTAGAGGTATGTCTGTGTTATACTAGAGGTATGTCTCTGTTATACTAGAGCCATGTCTGTGTTAGACTAGAGCCATGTCTGTGTTATACTAGAGGTATGTCTGTGTTATACTAGAGCCATGTCTGTGTTATACTAGAGGTATGTCTGTGTTATACTAGAGGTATGTCTGTGTTATACTAGAGCCATGTCTGTGTTATACTAGAGGTATGTCTGTGTTATACTAGAGGTATGTCTGTGTTATACTAGAGGTATGTCTGTGTTAGACTAGAGACATGTCTGTGTTATACTAGAGGTATGTCTGTGTTATACTAGAGGTATGTCTGTGTTATACTAGAGGTATGTCTGTGTTAGACTAGAGCCATGTCTGTGTTATACTAGAGGTATGTCTGTGTTATACTAGAGGTATGTCTGTGTTATACTAGAGGTATGTCTGTGTTAGACTAGAGCCATGTCTGTGTTATACTAGAGGTATGTCTGTGTTACACTAGAGCCATGTCTGTGTTATACTAGAGGTATGTCTGTGTTATACTAGAGGTATGTCTGTGTTATACTAGAGCCATGTCTGTGTTATACTAGAGGTATGTCTGTGTTAGACTAGAGGTATGTCTGTGTTATACTAGAGACATGTCTGTGTTATACTAGAGGTATGTCTGTGTTAGACTAGAGCCATGTCTGTGTTATACTAGAGCCATGT